CCAGCCCATTGGAGACTCCAGACACCTCGAGACGGCCTTACCACCCTCAAGTGCTTCAAAGGCAGACGAGGTTGAGCTACCATGAAGGGATTCCCACATGTCACGTTCCCCAGATTGGTGGAGAAATATCAAATTGTCTGCCACTGAGGACTCGGGTGAGTGGAAATAGCTGTCCGCAGCTCATAATCAGTCAGTGGAGAAGTTGGTGGAAAAGTTCAAGGAGCTAGAGATGAAAAGAGGAGAGCAACCTTCCCATTCCCCACACTCCAATGATCAGGATGATCAACCAGGCAGACACCAACTCCTGCCAAGAGGAACCCCCAGCCTCTCCTTCGCAGCTCAGGCAGCCTTTCTGCCCCTGAAGCCCCCTACCAGGGCCTCCAGCCCCACAGAGAGAGACAGCTTCAGTCGCCGCCCCGCCAGAAGCCCTGATTGCCACTGCCGAGATGAGGGTCTGGGCAGCTGCCGGGACAGCCAATCCCCAGACCGGTGTGCATATTGATCACCCAGCCTAGGCCCCCTGCAGCACTGGGGAATAAAGCAGCCCCTGCAGGTGGGAGGTCAGCAGTCTCTGCCAAGGCAACAGCAGTTGGGGTGGTCGCAGCCCCTGAATTTGCAGCAGCTAATAGAGGCCTTACAACAATTTGGGGTGATGCAGAGGCCGGGAGACCAGCAACCAGTGGGAGGATGGCTGCAGCAAGGGGGTTGGTTGCTGCCCCCAAATGTATAACAAGTGCTGAGGGGCCCACAAACGATGGGGATCCAGCAACAACCCTCTCTGAGGCCGCAGGGGGGCCTACAGCAATTGAGGATGCCACAGCTCCCTGCAGACCAGCAACAGGGAGGAATGGCAACAGCCCCCACCCAGACAGCAACCATTGGGGGGCCTACAGCAACTGATGATGCCACAGCTGCAGGTAGTGCAGGGGGTGGCAGCCCCCGAACGTACAACCACTGGGAATGCGGCGGCTGCCTCGGTGTGGCCAGCAGCAACAGTGGGGGGCCCAGCAGCCATTGATTGCTCCACCTTTCAGAGCAACCTTTGATGGGGACCCAGAGAAGCTGATTTTTTGTCTCAATCAAGTGCGCTCTCATTTGAACCGCTGTGCCTGTCTCTACCAGCCACTATGGTTGATGTAATTGCGTCCAGCTTAGAGGGAGAGGCATCCAAATGGCTGAATAATTTATATAACAAGCAAGCCCCTGAATTGGAGGACCCCCATGTCTTCCTCCTAGGACTGAGAGCAAGGTTTGAGCACTCACCCATTACCCTCAAAGCAGAAGAACAATCCATAAGATAAAGCAAGCCGGCAGGGCTGCTCTGGAGTACGTACAAGAGTTTTGCAAGATAGCTGGTCGGATAGAGAGATGGCCTGAGCAGTCCCTAGTCCATCACTTCAAAGAAGGATTAGACGATCACCTCTCTCAGGCCTGCATCTGTCGAGCAGTACCTGATCAGCTGCAAGAATGATACCAGACAGCGGTAAGGGTAGATGTTCAGCTCACCCGCTATAAGAAGCCTCCCCCAACTGAAGCCAAGTCAAGGCCAGAGCAACCCAAATGGCAACCACTACCCTGAAAACCTCCAACTGCTGCGGCTGCTGAAAGTCCCAGGCCATCTGCAGGCCCGCTGATCAAGTGCTTCCGATGCGGACAGCAGGGACATTGAGCAGCAAATTGCCCAGTCCCCTACCCCCAACAGCAGAGTAGACCGGGACCAACAGCGAGAAAGAAACCTGCTCAGCAGCCACTGAGAGAGAAATCCAACTGGATCACACAGGAACCTGTTGCCCAAGTCACATCCCCCACACAGGAGGATGCTGGGACTCAGGATGGACCCATCCCCGCGCTATCCTCTTTCGACAGTGACGACAAAGGAGAGAATGACCCAATGGTGAGTCGACATGTCTCACTTTTCTCTCTATCTGCCAAACTCGTAATCCCTAAGACGGGGGCACAGGTAGATTTAAAAGTGCTAGTCGATTCTGGATGCTCCCAGTGCATCATTAGCCTGCCATTTGCCATGGAAATGGGCAAACGAGCAAAGCTGCTCTCCAAACCCGTGAGGTTTGAGCAAGCCAATGGCTCCCTGATGGAAGGGACTTTAGTCACACAATTAACTGAGCCTCTACGCTTAGAAATAGGTGAGCACTGGGAGTTCATTTGTTTCCTGGTAGCTCCAAAATTGACTGGGGCTGTGATCCTAGGATTAGCCTGGCTGGACAAATGAAAGCCGTTTATCTGGTGGGAGAAGGGAATGAGGACTGTGAGACTACCTATAGGGCCAGAGCCCCCCATTGAGTCAACGGAGGTTGCAGGAAATTTTAGCCCACTCAACAAGTAAGTGCACGTGGCTGCCTCACCGCCACCCTAAAGATTGTTTAAGGTAAAAAAATACCTCGAAGTTCTTTAAAGAGTTTCATCTGTCGGAACCATGACACTGAGGTCTTGAGCGCCCTGGAACACGTTTTCATTGAGGATATTCCTGTACTTTGCTCCATCAGCTTTCCTTCAGCCCTGAACCAGTCTCCCAGTCCCTGCTGCTGAAAAACACCCACTGTTGGGATGATATTGGGCAAGTGATGAGCGTTGCCTGGTTTCCTCCAGACATAACATTTAGAACTGAGGCCAAACAGTTCAATCTTGGTTTCATCAGACCAGCGAATCTTGTTCCTCACAGTCTGAGAGTCCTTTAGGTGCTTTTTTTTTGCAAATTCCAAGTAGTCTTTCATGCATTTTGCACTGAGGAGAGGCTTCTGTTTAGCCACTCTGCCATAAAACCCAGATCGAGGGCTGCAGTGATGGTTATTCTTTTGGAATGCTGTTCCATCTGCACACAGGATCTCTGGAGCTCAGTCAGAGTGACCATCGAGTTCTTGGTCACCTCTCTTACTAAGGCTCTTCTCCCCTGATTGCTCAGTTTGACCAGGCGATCAGCTCTTGGAAGAGTCCTGGTTGTGCCAGACTTCTTTCATTTGAGAATTATGGAGGCACTGTGCTTTTAGGAACCTTCAGTGCTGCAGAAATTTTATTGTAGCCTTCCCCAGATCTGTGCCTTGCAATAAACCTGTCTCTGAGCTCTTCAGATACTTCCTGTGACCTCAGGGCTTTTACTGTGTTACAGTATGCATTGTCAGCTGTGAGGCTTCTATAGAGAGGTGTGTGCCTTTCCAAACCATGTCCAATCAGTTTAATTTACCACAGGTATAGAAATATGTCAGCAATGATCAAGAGAAATGGGAGGCACCCAAGCTAAATTTCAAGTGTTGTTGCAAAGGGTCTGAATACTTATGCCAATGTGATATTTCAGTGTTTTTCTTTTTAATAAATTTACAGAAATTTCTAAACTTCTGTTTTCACTTTGTCATTATGGGGTACTGAGTGTCGATTAATGAAGTTCAATAACAGTAGAATCAGGCTGCAGCATTGACAAAAGTGGAAGGGGTCTGAATATTTTCTGAATGCACTGTAATTCCTAAGTACTTTGCTCCTTTCCTTTCCTGTTTTTTTGCTGCAGTAGCCATGCTATCCTGGCAGCAGAGCCAGCTCCCTATTGACTTGCAGATAGATGATATGTTTGCACTGCCGTAAGTAACAGTGAACAGAGCAGGAAGGGACCTTGGAGGTCTTCTAGTCCAATGCCCTGCTCAAGCAGGAGACTCTACACCATTCCAGACAAGTCGCTGTCCAGTCTCTTTTTAAAAACCTTCAGTGAAGGAGTCCACAACTTCTGAAAGCAAACCATTCCATTGGCTAATTGTTCTCACTGTCATGCAATTTCTCCTTAATTCTAGGTTGCTTCTCTCCTTGCTTAGTTTCCGTCCATTGTTTCTTATCTTGCCTTCTGGTGCTTTGGAGAATAGATTGAGCCCCTCTTTGTGGCAGACTCTGAGATATTGGAAGACTTCTATAATGTCACCCCGGTCCTTTTTTTTCACTAGACCGGATAAACTCAATTCCTGCAACCATTCTTCATTTGTTTTAGCAGCCTCCAGCTCCCTACTGTAGTATTGGATTCTTATTCCTAGAAGATATCCAGCTCCAAGATCGTACTCATGGCTATAAATGTAAAGTCATTTGCTTTTAAATTTGGTTTTCCTATGTTTATAAGAGGAAATGAAGGATATGCTTGGTTTTGTATATGACAGATTTTTAAAGTAAGGTGTTTGCTGTTGTGAAATATCCTAGAAAGTTTATGGCCAAATACCAGCTTTGTCTTCCAAAAATAAAAAGGCCTCTCTTTGTCTTAAGTAATATGAGTCTCCCAAAGCTTTTATCTAGCTTTATGCCTTATTACCCTCAACTGTCTTTTTTTAAAAAAATAAAAATCACAAAATATTACCTATTTCTGAGCTACAAGACAGCTAACTGCATTTGGGGAGAATAGCCTGGGCTCAAAACATGACCTAGGTTCAACAATAGGAGGGAAGGAGAGCTCTCCTTGGGTCTCTTTTCATTCCAGTAGAAACTTTGGAAACAATAATGTTCTCCCTGAAGGACCAGATACACAGCATGGGGCTCTTTCTCAACTCACTGCAACTCTTTGAATAGGCAGATGGAGGCTATGGTGTATCAGTTGCATCCTTCCTGGAGAATTGGGCCCTGGCAACAGTGATGTACATGCTTGTTTACCCCAGGTTATATTATTGTTTACCCCAGGTTATATACACTACATAGGTCTGCCTATGAAAACTGCTTAGTTGGTCCAAAAATGCAGCAGCCCACTTGTTAACAGACAAGTGCCACTGTTCACACGTAAGTCCAGGGCTTTGAGTGACTACCAAAAGGCTTCTGAGTGGAATTAAGAGTCTAGGCTTTGAGTTTTAAAACATTATATGATTAGTACTCAGGTATCTTAAGGACTACCCACTTGAAGTGGATCTCATCTGACCAGTACATAAATCTCACGTTTTGGTTTTTTTATGTGCACCACCATGAATTTATGCAAGATGCGGAATGAAAATGTACTGAATTTAAACTATTTTGTCTCTTTCTTTCAGTGGATTTGAATGGGGACCTGATTCTGCTGAAAAGCTTGCCAGCACTAGCTACCAAAGTCGACATCTTCTTGAATTTTCTGCAAGCAGGCCTCAGGAAACAGATGGCAAAAATGAGGAGTAAGCATAAACCGTTATACTTTAGTGTTTTCCAGTTTGCAATATTCTACATATGCAAATGTAACAAATGGCTAACGTTCTACTTAAGGGTCCATAATTGGTTTTTTGAAAGATAGGTAACTATTTTGATTTGTTAACATTCCTCTCTGTCTCTGGTGCACATATTCTGTCAGAAATGTTGAAAAAGTAGCAAGACACGATTTCCCAAGTATTCCTGAGGCTATCAGTACTATGTGTCTTATCCCAAAATCTGATCTTACAAGTTGGGGCGTATTTGGGCTGCTGTGAAATTCCTGTTCTCACCAATTAACAGAAAAGTGCTATCTTTTCCAAGCAAAATTGATATCCTGCATAAAACTGATCTTGCCATAATTCTGTATGTATTTGTCAGATCTAAAGTATGTGTTAAGAAGCTTCAGCTGCTACAGAATGCAGCAGCAAGTTTTAACAGAAACTGCTCAATACATATTTTTAAAATAAAATAAAGTTGCATATTATTTGTTATTATGTTACTGATGTTTATTTTGAATGGTTTCACTGAGCATCTGACCTTGCTGCTATCTAGAGGAAAATATAAAAGGGGAGAGTGTAGTCCTTGACTTATGACCACAATTGAGCTCAAAATTTCTGTTGTTAAGTGAGACATTTGTTAAGTGACTTTTGCCCTATTTTACAATCTTTCTTGCCACAATTGTTAAGTGAATCACTGCAGTTGATAAGTTAGTAACCTGGTTGTTAAGTGAATCTGGCTTTACCATTGACTTTGCTTTCAGAAGGTTGCAAAAGGTGATCACATGACCTTTGGACATAGCAACGGTCATAAATATGAACCAGTTGCTAAGCATCTGAATTTTGATCACAGGATCATGGGAATGCTGCAAAAGTTGTAACTGTGAAAAATGGCCATAAGTCACATTTTTCAGTGCAGTTACTAAATGAACTATTGTAAGTTGTATTTTGTCTGGGGGATGAAAGCTAGTCTATAGGTATGAAAACTAACATTCATTTAGTGTAAAGTAGGAGTTTGGATTCTGTGCTTTTCCAGTTGTTGTTGGGCTACAATCATAGAAATGGTCAGTGTAAAAGAACTTGGAATCCAGCAGTACCAGGAAGGCCTCCTGTTCCTCCCTCTAATGCTTTGCTCTGCAAACGGACAAATATATTTCAGCAAAAATCTCTTCTAGGTTTAGTTTAGGTGTGTTTCTTACAAATGTTTGTATTCCAGCATTTTGCTGTCTCCCTTAATTTTTATGCAACAACTTTGTTTTTCCCAGTCTAGCAGTATTGGAAACTTTTGAAATCTTCTGATTTGTAGGCTGTTTCCATTCCAAATAGGCCTGTTCTGAAGCATTTTGTTCAGATAACCAAATCCAAAAAAGGGGCATTTAAACTGCTGGAACCTTTGTCTGGAAAATAAACTTATTATTTTCTTTGGATATAGCAGTCATTCTATGTAGAGAACTTGGAAAAACATTGGGAGTTTTCTTTCTGCTCTGAGACAGATTTTGTATCAATTTATAGCCTGGAAAACAGCTCATCCTTAGAGCCATGATCTAAGAAGACCTCAGGACAAGTCTGGGTTTACTGGCATATAATTTTGGAATGGGAATTTATTTTACTTTTATCTTAATATGATTTTTTTCTGTTAGTAGGACTAGCACAGAGTTTAAGCTGGATATGGACCAAAAGCCAGTGGAAAATCCTGCTCTTAGTTGCCAAGGGAATAAAGCAGGGTGAATATAGAGTGATTTTATTGTTTGTTTCCCCCAGAGCTTTCCCTTTCTCTGTCTGAGCACATTGTTCTAAGCCAATGGTTCTCAACCTTCCTAATGCCGCGACCCCTTAATACAGTTCCTCGTGTTGTGGTGACCCCCAACCCCCCATCCAGCTGGCCAGGGAGTATCAAAAACTTGACCCCCCCCAAAAAGGAAAAAATGAGAATACCAATTTTTAACGACTCAATTAATTAAATATAAAGTCAAGTTTCGTTGGTTAATACCTGAGGGCATACTTTTAACTTGGCAGGAGAAAAAATACAAGATAGATACACTTGAAAAAGCACAGGACTTTTATGAGAGTTATTTTTCACAAGGAGAAGAACAAGAAAGTAGGGAAGAGCCGGAGAGTAAAAGTTATGATGAAGATCTATTAGAGGAAGTTGATCGAGAGCGAGAAATACAAAAGTTACAAGAAAGAGAAAGGTTAGAAAGAGAAGCAAAAGGAAGACTTATAGAGACAAGAAGTATAAAACAGAATAAAAACAAAAAAATAGATCAAGTTAAAAATGGGAGACGTAATTAAGCTCTTTTCTATAAATATTAATGGATTAAATATATCAAGAAAAAGAGTTTAGACATTTAACAATTTAAGGAAATTGGATGTAGATGTGATGTATCTTTAGGAAGTTTACATAAAATAAGATTATAGAAAATTACTAGAGAAAGTAAAATTTAGAAACATTATACACAATATTAGCATAAAATAAGAAAGGAGGAATTATTATATATGTCAAAGAAAAATAAAATTAAATAAATATACTTGGATGAAAAGGGGTGAATTTTAATGCTGGAAATAGTATTAGAGTAAAAACAGTATATGCACTAAATAATATGAGAATATTTGTATGATCACCATGCTTAGATGGAATTCCAGTCGAGTCTTATAAAAAATATGAGTGTTACTATAATGAATAATGTTGGATTCCTAGTAAGTAGTAGAATATGAAAGAAGGGAAATGTAAAGAATAGAAGAGTACTGTTCTAAACTGCTGCTAACAAAAAAGGATATATTACGTGTGTATGTGTGTAATGTTTGTTGTGTTTTGTTTTGTTTTGTTGGTCTAAAATAATAATAATAATAAAAAAATACAGTTCCTCATGTTGTGGTGACCCCCAACCCCTCATCCAGCTGGCCAGGGAGTATCAAAAACTTGACCAAAAAAAAAAAAAAAAGCAAAAAATGGGGAAGTATAGGTAGTCCTCGACTTACAACAATTCGCTTAATGACTGTTTGAAGTTACAACAGCACTGAAAAAGCAAATTATGATCATTTTTCATTTGCAGCATCCCCAGGGTCATGTGATTTACATTTGGATGCTTGACAACTGATTCATACTTATGACGTTCACAGTTTCCCAGGGTCACGTCATCAATGACCAGGGAGCTTGGCCAGCTGATCACTCAGGTTGCAGAGTGCCTGTAGGGAGGAATCTGTGGGTCTCTGGGATGGGACTGAGGTGGGTGCCTGCCTTCCTTCCCTCCCTTCTCTCCCCTTGTCCTTTCCTTCCTTCTTTTCTTCCTTTCCTTCACTTCCCTCTTAGTCTCTTCCTCCTTCCCTCCCTCTCCCATTGTCCCTTCCTTCCTTCTTTTCTTCTTTCCTTCATCTCCCTTAGTCTCTTCTGCCTTCCCTCCCTCTTTCCCATTGTCCCTTCCTTCTTCCTTTCCTTCACCTCCTTCTTAGTCTCTTCCTCTCTCCCATTGTCCCTTCCTTCCTTCTTTCCTTCCTTTCCTTCACCTCCCTTAGTCTCTTCCTCCCTCCCTCCCTCTTTCCCATTGTCCCTTCCTTCTTTCCTTCCTTTCCTTCACTTCCTTCTTAGTCTCTTCCTCCTTCCCTCCCTCTTTTCCATTGTCCCTTCCTTCTTTCCTTCACCTCCTTCTTAGTCTCTTCCTCCTTCCCTCCCTCTCTCCCATTGTCCCTTCCTTCCTTCTTTCCTTCCTTTCCTTCACCTCCCTTAGTCTCTTCCTCCCTCCCTCCCTCTTTCCCATTATCCCTTCCTTCTTTCCTTCCTTTCCTTCACCTCCTTCTTAGTCTCTTCCTCCTTCCCTCCCTCTCTCCCATTGTCCCTTCCTTCTTTCCTTCCTTTCCTTCACCTCCCTTAGTCTCTTCCTCCTTCCCTCCCTCTTTCCCATTGTCCCTTCCTTCTTTCCTTCCTTTCCTTCACCTCCCTTAGTCTCTTCCTCCTTCCCTTCCTCTTTCCCATTGTCCCTTCTTTCCTTCCTTTCCTTCACCTCCTTCTTAGTCTCTTCCTCCTTCCTCCTCCTTCCTTCCTTCCTTCCTTCCTTTTCCTTCCCTTCTCCTTAGTCCCTTCCTTCCTTCCCTCCCTTCTATTGTTCCTTCCTTCCTTCCCTCTCTCATTGTCCCTTACTTCCCTCCCTCTTTGTCCCTTCCTTCCTCCCCCCCTCCGTGCCCAGGAAGGGACAAGGGGAGGGGGACAGGCTGCCAGAGGCAGAGGAGAGCTCCGCCCAGCTCACTTGCTCAGCTTCGCCAGAAAACATGCTTGCTAAGTTAGCAGAAGCCCCAGGATCAGTACCAGGCTACAGCTGATTTGCACTTCTGCTAAATTAGCAAGTGGCGTGTTTTCTAGCAAAGCTTGAGCAAGTTTGCTGGGCAGGAGCCAAGGAGAGCTGCTACAGCTGACCTGCTTCTTGGCTGCTCTGCAAAAGCGCAGATCAGCTGTAGAGGTTCACCCCGATCCTGGACAAGAGGGAAGGAAGGAAGGACGGAAGGGACAAGGGGAAAGAGGAAAGGAAGGAAGGAAGGGGAAGGGGGAGAGAGGGAGGGAAGGAGGGACAAAGAGGGAGGTGAAGGAAAGGAAGGAAGGAAGGAATGGGAGAGGGGAGGGAAGGAGGAAGAGACCAAGAGGGAGGGAAGGAAAGGAAGTTCCAGCCAGGAGAGGCTTGCCAGCCCGGCTGCCGAGAAACAGAAGAGCGCAAAGCCAAGGAGAAGAAGGTGGCAGTTTCCTCCCAAAGGGGGCTCCTTTTCTCCACCCCTTCCCTGGGTTTGTGGGGAATTTCTCATCACCAACACTGACAGGTGCTCCTTCGAGCCCGCCGCTGTAAAGATCCTAAGAAAAAGACTCAGGCATATCTTGAGTAGAGATTTGAAGCTGCTGCAGAACTGTTTCTCACAGCTTGAGACAGCTTGAGGGTCTCTGTGTGTTTATTGGTTTTTATATACTTTTTACATACATAGGGTTTTACATTAAATGCTGACATTTTACATTCATAAATTTAACCTTTAGATGCTGACATAAAGTTTCTTCATTGGAAAATTCCTTCGTATAAGCAACTATTTTCTAGTAACATATTACCTGTTCAGAGACCAGGTAAAAACAAATACAGGGAGATGAAAAGCAAAAGGAACTAACAAAGACAGGAAGAGATAAGAGGGAACTTAAGCATATTATTTATTTAGGTAGGTGAGATATTAAGTCAAAAGGGGATGACTTTCTGGCTGCTTCATTGGGACAAAGGGTATCAAAAGGTTATGAGGTTTATGGGGGGGGAAGCATGGCAGTTTGCTGCGCGTCCTTTTTCCCCCCACACGCCGCGATCTTTCTTGCCCCCTTTGCTTCTCCCCCCTGCTTTCATGAGGATTGTGGCGCCCTTGGGAAACCGATTGTGCTTTGAAGCTTATGAGAGGAGGAAGAGTCCCTTCCTCCTTCCCTCCCTCTTGCGTCAGCTGGCGCTAGTTCAGGGGTTGTCAGCTGACGGGTGCAGGAGTTGGGTGCTGCGGTGGCCTCCCCTTCGCTGACCTGCTTGCATGAGAAGAAGTCAGTCCAGTAGCTGCACAATGAGTCTCTTCATGCGCCCCCTGCAGGGCACATTTGGTAGAGTTTGCGCAGACTGCCGCCAGGCAGCATATTTTCCACAAACAAGTGAGGTGGAGCGGAGCGGGGGAGGGAGAGAAGGCGGTTGACAAGCTCTGCCTAAGACCATCGGAAATATGTGTTTTCCGATGGTCTTAGGTGACCCTGTGAAAGGCTCTTGAGACCCCGAAAAGGGTCGCGACCCACAGGTTGAGAACTGCTGTTCTAAGCAGTTCAGAAGACAAGGCCCCAGGCTGGGAGGACGATGAATTTTCTGTAACATTCTGCGGTAGAGAGAAACAGTATCATTTAGTTGTTTTAATTAAGTGACGAAAGAAATTCTCCTCTTGGAAAGTGAATCTGTGCTAAATTGCTAAGGAATGTTCATGGTTTGAAACAGAGGATTTTCTCTTCCTATAATATTACTTCACAGAGAGTAATAATCCAGTAGCATTAATGCTACAGAGGATCAACACTGTGCATAACAGTGGAGAAAACAAGATACAGTATATTCATAAGAATTTACATTTTATATGAATATGTGAAATGTTGGCTTCATATTTGCAACAATAAAGGAACCCAGCAAAACCTCTTGCAGGAGGAGCGCTCAGCTATTTGTAGGGTGAAAAGCTATATTTGAACTTTTAGTGACAATTTGGAAGCATACCTCAAAACATAGTCGGGCCAAGATGAAAACTAAATCATGTTTAATTTTAAGCAATATTTCAATAAAATTAAATTAATTAGTATATGTATGAAATCATTTTAATTTTATTATGTTGAAACATTTGAAAGTACTTTTTGGAAGGAAGTTGGTAGATTGGAAATTATGTATTATTTTATTATAGTATGGATAAAACAAATACAAAGGAAATGTGTCACATAAATACAAGGAGTATTTATCAGAGAAGGAATATATAAGGAAGTAGTAACATCACCTCATACTCTTTTGGAAAATGAAGAAGTGATTGAGGGGAAAGGAAAAACAATGAAAAAGCATGCAAAAATCTGTTTGAATGTTCCAAAAGGCTATCATCAAATATTTAATGTTGGTTAAGATCTAAATCCAACACTTTTTAAACTTTACATTTCCCTTCTGATGCCTCTCAGTGTTATGGAGAGAACACATATAGTTCAGGTTCTTGCCATTCTTTTAAGCTGGATTGTTTTGCAGATGTTTCATTATCTGTCAGTTCTTGTGATGATGATGTTACCTAGCCTGGTTATGGAATGACTGCAAGAAAGCAACCAAGCTCGGAGAGCATCAGGAACACAACAGCTTTGTTTGCTTCAGGCAATCCAGGTAGTCCTTGACTTACAACCATTCATTTAGTGAACATCTGAAGTTACAACAGCACTGAAAAAGGTGATTTATCATTTTTCACACTTATGCCTGTTGCAGTATCCCCATAGTTACATGATCAAAATTTGGACCCTTGGCAACTGGGTCATTTATGAATGTTGCAGTGTCCTATGGGTCATGTGATCACCTTTTGTGACCTTCTGATAAGCAAAGTCAATGAGGAAGCCAGATTCACTTAATAATCATGTTGCTAACTTAACAACTGTGGCAAGAAAGGTCGTAAAATAGGGCAAAACTCACTTAATAACTGTCTTGCTTAACAACAGGCATTTTGGGATCAATGGTTGTAAGTCGATGACTCCTGTATTACCCCAGACATGTCAGTGTGACATAAGAGTGCAAACTCCACTTGTGGCTCAGAAAATCCCTTCCTATGGGTGGCTATGTGAACATTTCTAGAAGAATAACTCTTCTGATCCTGACAATTTTTAGTGCGCCTGTGGTTGCTGTCTGGTCCCTCAATTCCCTACAATGATTTCCATCGATCATTTGCAAATGTTCTTGTTGGCTTCTTGCAGAAGTTTACTTTAGGTATTAAGTAAATATTCACTTAATCATCTTCTGATTGAAATTTGGCTTTTTCATCTAACAGGTGATTTAGACCTAACAGGGTTATTCATTTCCAAGATAGCCACAGATGTGCCAAAAGCATAAATAGCTGAAAATGTTTTGAAAACAGGCAGCAAGATGAGACTATTTGTAATGTCTTTACAATTAAAATTCTGTATCATAAACTGCACAGGCATGAGTCTTGAAAGAAAGCCAATATTGTTTATGTTTGAACTTGCTGAAACAGAAGCCTTTTGGGGTAGAAGGGCTTGGGGAATTTCTCATTCTATTTTCCTCAGACGTGTAATATTAGCATACTTCATTGCTGAATTTGTAATATTTTGGTTGAATTGATTTGACTATCTATACCTTGGCCTACATTTTAGATTCCAGGTGCTGGTGGAGATAAGAGTTAGTACTTCACCAACAGCTTCTCTTCTGTTTAGCATACCCAACACACTCTTCTGCTAGCTAGTGCATCTGTTTTGCATCTTTTTCTTCTTTTTTCTGTGCTTGATTCTGAGAGTTCATATTGCCATGCTGTGATGTATTTCTTTTATACCCACTGTCTCATTCTTTTCTTGACTATGTTCCACCTAATCCCAGCTCTGATTTCCCCATGTTCCATTTGACTGAGCCTGCCCTTCCTAAGATTCCAAGAATTCTTGTGTGGCCATACACGTGGCTGCTTCTTACTCCAAATTTGTAGCCAGGCATTGTCCATTTTTCTTCTTGCTCTCCCTTTTGAGTTTTTGTATCCCTCCAACTGCTTCTTGTTAATTCTCGGTTATTTCACACTTGTATACTGACTTCTCGTAAACTGTAGGAATTGCCCTTGCCTTGCTGTAACTCACACTTCTTTCTTCCAAACTTCTCGCTTTTCAGGTATCAGTGAAAAACATTTCCAAATCTATTTTTGGGGGGAGGGATTTGCCAGTTTTAAGTGCCAGAAAGGAGAGTAATAACTCTTCTGTAGGATTTTCAGCTGCAAGGGTTTGTGCAGTAAACATAGGCACATGCTTTGCATAATCATAGTGTTCGAAATGGGCTCAGATGTCATCTTCCCCCAAAATGTAGAATCCATTAGAACATCTCTGATAGACAGTCATTAAAGGTTCTGTTTGAAGATGTTCGGTGAAGAACTCTGCACTTTGTACAGCATTCTGTTCCACTGGATGATACCTCACATATTCACAAAGTTGTAACCTGAACCTACTTCCTTCGAGGTTTTTTAACCAATTGGTTCTGGGCGGTACCTCCTGCAGAAATAAAGAATAAGCCCACCCCTTCTGTGTGACTGTCCTTCAGGTATTTGAAGACTGCCATTCTATTTCCCTCTAATTTTCTATTCTATATAGGCTGAACATTCCCAGATGTTTTAAAGGTTCCTCACAGGGCCTGGTTTGAAATCCTCACTATCTTAGTAGCCTTCCTCTGAACTTGTCATGATCCTTTTCAAGTGATGGTGCCTCAAACTAGATACAGTGCCCTTAGTGGGGTTGACCAGGGCATGCTGGAACAATTGCTTCTTGTGTTCTGGATTTTGTGCTCCCGTTAATGTATCCCAAGATACCATTTACTTTTTTAACAGCTGTAATACATGGCTGCTTCATATTTAACTGGTGAGTACTCTCACAGAGTCTTTTCACATGTATGTACTGTTGCCAAGATAGACTTTCCCCATCCTTTACTATCTAGATGCAGAAGTATATCCTCCTCCTTGTTGAAATCCATCCTATTTTTTTTCAGGCTAATTCTTTATTTTATTTTTCTAAACTTTTGTCTTACGTCAACAGTGTTACTCCCATCCCAGTTTGTGTCATTTCCAAACTTGATACAAAATCTTTTAAGTCATTGGTAAAAATCCTAAACTCACTTAGTATTTCCAGCCAAGAGGGGCCATTAATGAACATTCTTTTCTTGTGGTAATTCAGTCAACTGTGAATCTATTTAACTGTGATATCAACTGCTTCATATCTTATCATTTTATGAAGGAAAATATTACAAGGCACTCAGTCATATGTTTTTACTGAATGAACAAAATACTGTATTTTGTTTCTTACTTGATGTTAATCTATTTTACCTTTACCTTTATCTCATTTGTCAAATCCTTTTATTAGTTTCATAGATACAAGTTTTTTTTTTTAATTTAGTGTTTGTCTGTATAATGCATTTATTTTAACATAGATGTACAATGTTAAATATTTTTAAAAATTATTTCCTAGATATAAGCCCTCGGTTTCGGATAACAAAGCACTTATGGTAGTTACTGAGGAACCAATAATATATGTTCCTCCCCCACCTTGCCAACCATTTATCAACCGGACAGAATCACTCAGGTAAGCTGCTTGCTTATAAATAGTAGAGATGTTAGTGCCAGATAGGCATTAGAAATGTTTGACTTCCTCAGTATACAGTTCCCCATACCTATCTGTCAACAGATGTCATATTGGATGTACAAATGAAACTGGTTGGTATCTTAACGATTAAAAGGGATATATAATTAACAAGCCAAAAGAGCAACCTGATAGTTTTCCTATATTGGATTTATTAAAACAGACTTGTTAAAGTTTTGAACAATTTTGTGACAAGAGACAAAGAAAAAAATGAAAAGAAATCTAATTCTAGGGCATTATTTAAAATATCAAGATAGTTAAAAGTAAAAGGAAAGAATATTAAGTTGGTTTATTGATCAAGGATTTAAAGCAGACATGTTATCTCTGATCATCCTTAATGGACTTTTGCTGATGAGGACTGAACAACAAGATCTTAAGGATTAAAAAGAAAAGGGATGAGATGTGGGAAGAAGAGATTAGTGTTGTATTTTAAGAGGAGAAGATAAGTTTCTAAAATTGTTTATACTGTACTGTGATGAACGGGGAAGTCATTTCTTTATTTCTTTTTCTTCAGTATATTCTTATTGTTTCTTTTCTATTTCTATTTCTTATTTTCTTTAGCATATTCTTATTGCTTCTTTTCTATTTTTACTTCTATTTTCTGAACTTTCTATTTTTTCTCTATTGTATCTTTCTTAGTTTTCATTTTTATCTTTTTAATTTTAATATTGAATAAAATTACTATATAAAAAGAGTGTCCTCTCATGCACATTATACATTTCAAATAAATTCTGTAACATTGAAAGAATATTAGTCAATACAGTGAGTTAGGATAACTATTTAATGGATTATTTGTTGATGAGTTTGCAACTCCCTGTCCATTTCAGTGCCATAGTTCAAAACAAAAGTGTTTTATAGACATCTGTACTGGAGTCATGTAATACATTCCCAATATCATTTAGGAATAAGCAAATCTACTTTTTTTATATCTTACCAATCTTCACTTTCTAAGCAGGCACAAACTGTTCAGGAGATCCAAATTCAAATATTGAAATCTGATGTAGATACACTGAGACATTATTTCCGAGATTCTTACTTAAGGGTATAAACAAGAGACTAAGCTGAATATGAGTTCAAAATCAATGCTTTTAAGTTCTTATGGAGAAGGTTGTCCTTGAATATATTTTTTTTTCATTCCTCTCATCATTCTGTCTAATTTCCATGTTATATGTACAGGTTAAGTCATGAACTAAGAGGTTGGGTACATAGACATGAAGCAGAAAGAACAAGATCAAGAAGGATGCCAAATAATCAGCAGCAAAAAGAGCAAACTGTCCAGGTAGGTTTGTGGAAGCATTTATATTTTGTGACAGCAGGGGGAAGAGAAGGAGGAAAAATAAGGTCCTCAGGGCCAGAAGATCAAAAGAGAGAATGCGTATACTGGGGAATGGACAAAATTCTGATACTGTATTGCAGGGTCCCTATCTCTGTTCCTTTGTTATTTAGGTAAGTCTAGAATATGAAAGTACTCTTTCTAAAAAAAAATCTGCATTTGTGGATATATATAATTAATATTAATATATATATATATATATATATATATATATATATACACACACACATACATACACGCACATACATACACTCACACACACACACACACACACACACACACACACACACATATATATATATATATATATATATATATACCTTGAATGAACACCCTGTCAGCCTAAATATGGGAGAAAGAAATCTTCTTTTTTTTCTTTTGCCTGTATCAGCTCAATCTAGAGCCATCCACAAGCAGCAGTCGCCAACTGCGACATCATTTTACATTTTTAGGTTGCTAACAAAGAATAAAGAGAGAATAGTATAGCTATTTCGAGTTCCTTTAACTCTCTTCAGCCAAACTTACTCTTCTGAGATTCAAACCTGGGCTATCTGCATGTTAGGCAGTTGTTATAACCTCTAAGCCACAGGCTCTCCTCACTTTGTCAGCTGTATCTGGAGAGAGACAGGGGGAGGAGATTTTTACCTTGAATGAACACCCTGTCAGCCCAAATATGGGAGAAAGAAATCTTCTTTCTTTTCGTTTCTCCTTCCCCTGTCTCTCTCCTGATAGTTCTCTTGCTTGATGTTTCTTATCGGTGAGCATCTGATAGACTGGCAACAACTCAATATGCCAATTAATGGAATACTGGTTGGATAGCCATGCCTTTTTTAATAACCAGCTGCTCTTAGTTGCATCATGAGCAATGACTCTGGCCTCTGTGAAATTAAAGGTGTGATTGTACTCCATGATATGAACCCATACCTGGGATCGTTTTTCTTGTCGTTTGATGGCCAGTTCATGTTCATGAAGCCTAGTTCGAAGGCATTTTGTGGTCTCACCCACATAATTGCATGCACAATTATTACAGTTAATTTGATAAATGACTGATGACATCTCGCTCATGGGTAAGGGTTCTTTGGGGTGCATTATTTGTGTGTGGAGGATTTGATTGGGTCTATGTGCCACCCTGGTATTGTATGCTGATAATATTCATGCCACTGTCTCTGACACACTGTGAATGTAGGGGAGTGTGGCCCAAGTGGTGGTAGTTGTTGTTCTATCATCTGCAGCACGTAGCAATCATTGCTGATGATGACGTTGAACGAAATCAATGGAGTATCCATTCTGTATGCATACTTGATACAGGTATGCATGCTCCTTAGCTTTTTCAGTTGCTGTGCTGCAGTGCATATTTATTTTATTGAACAGGGTACGTATACAACCAATTTTGTGGGCGGTGGGGTGATTACTGTCACTGTGAAGTATTCTATCCATGTGGGTGGATGTGCGATAAATGTTGGTGACTAGCATGCCGTTACACATGCAACGTATTAGTATGTCTAGGAAGGGTAGGATGTTATTCACTTCTTCCTCTGCCACAAATTGGATGTCGGAAAAGATGGCATTGAGCTTTTCCATAAAAGAAGCATTGCTGCGGTGCTTGATGACCACAAAAGTGTAATCCACATACCTGCCCCAAAATTTGGGTTTGTAATCCTTCATCACTGTTGAGTCTAGCTTCTGCAGCACAGCCTCGGTGATGATTCCCAAAATGGGAGACCCCAGGGGCGTGCCCTTGATTTGTTCGTATATAGAACCGTTGAATGTAAGTATGTTTTTAGGCAGAAGTTGAGGAGCTGTATATAATCTTTGGGATTCAGTGAACCAGATGTTTGTGGTTCCTTGTCCTGCAGTAATTCGTTCAATGCAGACCTGGCCAGATCCTGGGGAATGGATGTGAACAAGGATATGACGTCAAACGACACCATGATCTCGTCCTCCTCTATTGTCAGAGTCTTCAACTTTTGTAAAAAGCCCTTAGCCGATCTTACAGAGGTAGAAGTGTTTTCGACCAGGTGTTGAAATGTGTACTAAGCCACTTGGCCAGCCCAAATGTTGGGGTGCCTCTGAGTGATACAATCGGACGCAATGGGATATCTGTCTTGTGTATTTTAGGCAGCCCATAAATGCGTGCTATGGCTGAACTCTGGGATAAATGAATAAAACAGTTTGTTTTATTCATTTATCCTGGAGTTCAGTGATTCTGTTATAGTTTTGATATAAATAAACCTGGGATTCGAGTTTTTAAGAAAATTAGGAACACACACACACACACACACACATATATTGAGGAAAATAGTCAAACACCAGGATAAATATAAAAACAACTGTTTAATAAACTAACAACTGTTTGATAAACTTAGCTTTCGTCAGCTAACTGCCAACGTCATCAGAGTGGAATGCCGGAGGTTTGAAAGCCTGCTTATAAGAGCGGCAGTTTGTGCGCACTGTTCATAGAATGCATTACCGGTCTATCCGCCCTAGTTGACCGTATTGCTTCTAATAGACTCGCATCCGTTTGTATACTTGTAAGCTCAGGGATCATCGCCTCTCTTGTTGTCGCTCTCTTTGCCCACTTTGGATGTATCTGGGTACACGTTGCTTTAGGATGGTCCTAACAATGCTGTTGTTCCCACTTTCTTAGTGCCTGATAAGCAGGCAGTAACTCTATGTGGCGATTAATTGAGTGTTCATCCAACAGCCAAGCCTCCTTCAGTAACTGGCTGCCCTTGGTGACATCCTGGGCAATGGCCTCCGCCCCGGCAAGATCAAACGTGTGATTGTTGCTGGCCATATGGACCCGTATCTGTGAGTGTTGCACATGTTGTCTAATGGCCAGCTCGTGTTTCATGGATCCTAGTTCCAAGCCATTTGGTCGTCTCCCCAATGTAATTGCTGTGACAATCCAGATATATATGTATGTATGTATGAATGATGTGTGTGTGTGTGTGTCAGGAGAATATAGGTATAAAAATATACTTTACTCAAAACCACCGAACTTTTGTTGGGAGGCTCCCAACGAAAGCTTGGCGGTTTTTAGTAAAGTATATTTTTATACCTATATTCTCCTGGTGGTCGCATTTTATTTGTATTATAAATATGCCTAGGAGTCGTATTTTTATGGATATTATTCAACATATATATGTATGTTTGTATGTATGTATGTAAAACCAATAAAAATGTGAGCACTAGGAATATAATAAACTGAAAAAGTTTAATATCATCACCAATCACCAAGCTTTCGTCAGAGACTTCTGACATCGTCAGGGTTAATGCTGGTCTATGGGAGAGTACCTTTATAGGTGAGCCATCCTTTGCACACGGCTCCTAGCTCTTGTCATAGGTCCTAATTGATTTGGCTGCATTCTAATTATGGCTTCCATATTGATGTCTCCTCTTTTCTTGCTTCTACTGCTTGTGAGTGTGCCATTACTCACTTCTACCTCCCCCGGTCTTGGATTAGGAAGGTTCCCTCCCCCCTTTTTTGGTTGGTTAGATCGTCCGTATCTCTAAATTGCTCCCTTTTCTCGTACTCACATCTCCCACCTTCCTCCTTCTTCTGCCCCTTACTTACTCCCCCGTTGCCATCCCTTATCCTATATATAGGTTAGGAGCTTGGCTGTACTCTGATTGACACACCTCCATCCAATCAGAACACAGCCAAGTTCTCATCCAATCAGTTCATATCCCCACTGGCAGTTAAAAGGAAGAAACAGCTATGATCACACATTGCTCCTAGAAGCACGAAGCCGAAAACACCAGCCTGAAGAGTATGAATGAGACTTCGTCGAAACGTCGCCAAGACACTTCCAATTTGACGCGGGAGAAAACCCGAATAACCAAAGACCTACATACAAACACCCGCAAAAACCTCAGAATATATATGCTGGCAGAGAATATATATATATATATATTCTGAGGTTTTTGCGGGTGTTTGTATGTAGGTCTTTGGTTATTCGGGTTTTCTCCCGCGTCAAATTGGAAGTGTCTTGGCGACGGTCCTCTGCCAGCATCATCAGAGTAAGCATTGGAAGGTCTGCCTATATATATGTATGTATGTATGTATGTATGTATGTATGTATGTATGTATGTATTTTTAGAATACTTTTCTATCCCACATATACTCTTAATTATAGTTTTTCCTGCATATTTGTATATCTTCTATAGAACCTCAGTAATGCTAAATCACAGTTGTCTATAAGTGATAGTTTTTATATTTAATTTGGTGCTAAGTTATTTCCTTGTTCATTTTTTCCTATCCCCAGAGTGCTTCAGGAAAAAAATCTGAACTCATGACTCTTCCCTATACAGACAACAGTGTTGGGTAAGTCAAAATAGAATCTTCTCATCAGTATAATATTATATCAGTATAATATTATATTATATAAAATGTTACCTTTGTAGGAAATATTTAATTATTTTACTGAAAAGAGCCAGATATATTTATTGGCAAACTCATTAACCCAGTTTTCATTCAAGATCTTAAGGATTCATCTAGTCAAGCATTCCATTTCCTACAATGGCCAAATACATTTTTTTCTAGAAAATTCACAAATGTACACAAGAACATCAATATTTCCCTTTCATTAGTTCTGGTACACAGGATACAGAAAATGTTGAATATGTCTTAATACATGGGGCCTATCCTGTCAAGCATGCACATTTTTTCCCTACTTTTTCTACTCTGAAACAGTTATAAATACCATGTGGCAAACAATTTTCTTGTTGCCACCCCCATATAAATTTGTTGCTGCCTATCAGAACTAAACCTCATTCGTATTGTCATTACTTCAATATTATTCCTGCAATTCCACAGTTTGCAATCAGCAGAAAATAGCTTCTCCCACACTTCAAAGTAATTTCTTTCTGCATTTTCTCCTTATCTGTGCACTAACTATATTTTTAGATTCTTTTCTATAACACTAGTAGTGTGTATGTACTTTCATTAAAAGTAAAAGGTAAATATTATGATACTGTGTATTGATTTCTGGCTTTGTACAGTGATATCACAAATGCATTAAAGCATGCTGTTCCTGATAATTTGGAGGCCAAATGATGCTATTAGATGCTTGGTTTATTTTATGATACATTCAGATATTTTATGTGTGCTAGTTCCAATAGTATCTTCTCATGTATTTCAGTAGGAATTCAGGAAGTGAGCTACAGGTTTATTACGCTTCGCCACGAAATTATCAAGATTTTTTTGATGCAATTCACAGAAAGGGAGATACATTTTATGTGGTGTCCTTCCGTAGGGTAAGTATTTTGCAATGTTCAGCAATTACAAACATGGAAAGATTGTCCATTTTTATAACATTCTGTCCAAGAATTTTTGGGAATTGTTATTTTTGGATAAAAATAAGTATTTTCAACATACAATTCTTGAGCTTTCTTGAGAAAGAAATTATAAAATGTTGATTGTGAAATTATATTATAATCTGTTATAAAACTGTTCCAGTTTCCCTGTGAGGAAGCAAAAAAAAAAAAAAAATCCCCATGAATTTGATCAGAATTTATTGTTCCCCTAAGGAAAATGAGAATGAATATTGGGCATAAATGAAATTTATACCTGAAAAAATCAGTACATATCCAGAAAATGAAATCATACAGTTTTCTCTTGTGCAAATGGATCTGTTTTGGTCAGGTATTTTTTTTCATTGATGCTAAATAAATAAATTTATTCGCATCACATCTTCCAAATATTTGCAGGGGTTTTGCTTCAGGAATCTGGGATAGCAATTCTTTTTGCACAAAATACCATAATAGAATAGGGAGTGAAAATATAATCAAGATCTTGACACTTTATAGAAACCAATTTCTATGTGAGAGGACAGCCATGGGAAACATCTATTTTTATATAGTATCTTCCATCCCAATAATAATACTTCCCAGAATGGACAGAGAATTAGTTGTTTTTTAAGACTGGAATGTATGCATATCCATGCAGGTACTTACTTAGGAGTTTACTTAGTCTACATATACTTGGAATTTTAAAAGTAAGTATGTTTTGAGCACACTCAAAATGACTGATGAGGAGAGAACATACTCATTCAGAAAGCTTTGCCATGGCAGACATGTCCAGCTACAAAACATAACATTTATTAAAATATAAAATAAGGATTTTTTTGCCTGCTGTTTCTTCTCATTCCTCCAAGAATTTTCCTACCATATTCAATTTTAAGTTGGATAAAATCTCTTTCATCTTGAGCTTGATTTCTGATGATTTGAAAGATATATTTATGCGTCAAATCTTTATTAGGATCAAAGATTAGCATAAGGAGAATGGGTATATAGACAATTAAAAAGGATAAAAAATATATCAGAGTCTAAAAAAATTATAAAAAGCTAAAACTTATAAAACAAATAAATATGAAAAACAGAAGTCTAAAAGGAATCTAAAAAGGGGGGTAGGAATATTAGATGGCTGTAGGGAGAGCCTAAAGGTTAGTATATATGGCAGACTAAATCTATCACAATATTGCACACTCTAGAATGACAAACTAGATGCTCATTAAGAATAGCTTATGGAACAGGTCATCATCTGATGGATTTTAAGTGCCGTTGTGCAGAAACTGGCAACATGATAGGTTGTATCACAGCTAGGATCTGAAATCAGTAGGGACTGTAAAATTGTCCTGTGCGCCCTGGATATTTATTCGGTAATGATGAGATGAAGCTAGTTTTTATCCTACAGACACTGATGGAGTACATGCTCTGTTGTTTCTTATGACGGTGTCCAGAAGCATAGTCTCTCCCGGTAGGAAATCTTCCTGTATTGAAGGACAGCTGAGGGAGGGCATGGCATCAGAATAGAGGTCTACCAGAAGTATTACAAGATTAGTTAAGTATACCATAGAGGAGGCAGAGTATCTCTTGGATCCACTAACAATAAATGTTGGGGACCTGGCTAGGTCCAGTTGGTGCTATTGTATTTGCTATGCACTGTTGAATGAGTGTTTTTGGCCTAATCATATTCCATGCTGAGTAAAAGACCTGGCGAGAAGCCCAAGGGTGAGATTTTACTTGACATTGCCTTTTCCCATGTGAACTGAAAATCATCCTTCATAGTTATATTGTATTTATGCTATTTTATTGAAAACACTTAAGTGATTTACTATTGCCAGAAAAAAAGAGGGGGAGTGAGAAACTTTCCAATCTCCAGTCCTTTTGAGGATAAAAGGAGGACTTACATATGTTGCCTTTAATTCCCTGAAAGAATGGAATAATATTTCCTTATTGATCACATTTTATTGTGATCATTATATTTCAGTTTTGTTGTAAAAATCAAAGGAAGCGTATCAGGTTTTTTTGGGGGGGGGGAATTTATTTTTTCATTTATACTCTGCCTTTATTTTATTTTTATAAATAACTTAAGGCAGCAAGCTTATGTAATACTCCTTTCTCCTTCTATTTTCCCAACAACAACAATAACCCCTTGAGGTGGGTTGGGCTGAGAGAGAGTGTCTGGCCCAAAGTCACCCAGTTGTTTTTCATGCCTCAGGTAGGACTAGAACTCACAGTCTCCTGGTGTCTAGGCCAAAACCTTCATCACTGCAATTAAGGAAAGATCAGAATAGGTACTGCAAGGTTCATTTTTGCAATTCTGAATGGCTACCTGGAATCTACTTGGAATTAAAGAGCCCAAATATGTTACTTCAAAGAGTCCATCTTCTCTCTCTATCCAGTAAGAAGGGAAAAGACTTTTGCTTCTACTGTCTCTCATTGAGCCTTAATTTTGGTTTAAATAGAGTTGATAAAACTGGAATATGTGTTAATAATAATAAATAAAAAAGTTAATTCCTTTTCCAGATCTTAGTTCCAAAACTATGCCCTCATTATGAAATGGAGGTTGTTTAGTAGTTGCAGAACAGGAAGTTTATGCAGAAGGACAGAACATTTATGAAGAGTTACGCTGTTTTTCCGACAATGTAAGATTATTCTTTTCCTCCCAATCAGAAGCAAATCAGTCTCTTGAACTGACTTTCTGCCTTGAATGTATAAATCCACAATTGTACTTTGGGCCATTTCCAGCTGCATTTTATTTCTGTCCAAAGTGCGCAATTACAGTTACTGATTTTATTGTATTGGTGTTAAATGCCTTAATGCCAGGCAAGTTCCATTGATGCACTAGACTTCTCTTTCATATAACTGTTTTTTTCAGAGGTAATTCCATACAGATGAAGCCTTTTTCTCTCTTGGCTCTATGTGTTTAGCCAAGTTTGCAATTATGCAACATACAATGTCTAATGTGTTCTAAAGTCCAGGTGCAATAACAGTGAAATATTAGATGCCAATAGATCATAACACCACCTGTTAGTTAAGAATCATAATAGCTCTGCTGATATTTAGCTTTCCTGTATTGTAATTAGTTAGAAGGTTTTTCTTCTGTTATTTATGCAGAGGCCATAAAGCATATTCAGATTTATAAGAATATTTCTTGACTGGAAAGAAGATTGACTGCATGAGGAATAAAGTACCTTTGTACTTTGTGTCTTTGTAGTGAATTGTACCTAATTCTAAACATGTAAAGTAATAAGGATGGCATAAAATTCTTATAAGGATAAACAAAAGAATATACTCTTAGCATGTAAAATAGCAGTAGTAATTGTTCCCCTTGCTTTGCATGTGACAGATAGTAACTGCAAATAATAAAATATTACCTTTTCAGATTAAATATTCTGTGCTATTTTAAATGAATGTGAGCAGAAATCTCTTTTCTACCCAGAGGATTACTTTCTGGATAGTAATCCTCTGGCTTTCATATCCATGTTAGGGATTCTCCTTGATGGAAACACTATTATTCTTGACGGATTACTGAGCAGCATAGTCAATGCAATTTATTATTAGGTGCTTTAAAATTCTATGGCTACATATTTAAACATTTGCATACAGTGATCCCACATGTTTATTTTCTGTCCCTCTTTCTCTGGATATAGATACAGCGGGGCAAAAAAGTATTTAGTCAGCCACCAATTGTGCATGTTCTCCCACTTAAAAAGATGAGAGAGGCCTGCAATTGTCATCATAGGTAGACCTCAACTATGAGAGACAAAATGAGAAAACAAATCCAGACAATCACATTGTTTGATTTGGAAAGAATTTATTTGCAAATTATGGTGGAAAATAAGTATGTGGTCACCTACAAACAAGCAAGATTTCTGGCTCTCACAGACCTGTAACTTCTTCTTTAAGAGGCTCCTCTGTCGTCCACTCATTACCTGCATTAATGGCACCTGTTTGAACTTGTTATCAGTATAAAAGACACCTGTCCACAACCTCAAACAGTCACACTCTAAACTCCACTATGGTGAAGACCAAAGAGCTGTCAAAGGACACCAGAAACAAAATTGTAGACCTGCACCAGGCTGGGAAGACTGAATCTGCAATAGGCAAGCAGCTTGGTGTGAAGAAATCAACTGTAGGAGCAATAATTAGAAAATGGAAGACATACAAGACTACTGATAATCTCCCTCGATCTGGGGCTCCGCGCAAGATCTCATCCCGTGGGGCCAACATGATCACAAGAACGGTGAGCAAAAATCCCAGAACCATACAGGGGGACCTAGTGAATGACCTGCAGAGAGCTGGGACCAATGTAACAAAGGCAACCATCAGTAACACACTATGCCGCCAGGGACTCAGATCCTGCAGTGCCAGACGTGTCCCCCTGCTTAAGCCAGTACATGTCTGGGCCCGTCTGAAGTTTGCTAGAGAGCATTTGGATGATCCAGAAGAGGATTGGGAGAATGTCCTATGGTCAGATGAAACCAAAGTAGAACTGTTTGGTAGAAACACAACTCGTCGTGTTTGGAGGAGAGAGAATGCTGAGTTGCATCCAAAGAACACCATACCTACTGTGAAGCATGGGGGTGGCAACATCATGCTTTGGGGCTGTTTCTCTGAAAAGGGACCAGGAGGAGTGATCCGTGTACAGGAAAGAATGAATGGGGCCATGTATCGTGCAAACCTGCTTCCATCAGCAAGGGCATTGAAGATGAAACGTGGCTGGGTCTTTCAGCATGACAATGATCCCAAACACACTGCCCAGGCAATGAAGGAGTGGTTTCGTAAGAAGCATTTCAAGGTCCTGGAGTGGCCTAGCCAGTCTCCAGATCTCAACCCCATAGAAAACCTTTGGAGGGAGTTGAAAGTCCATATTGCCCAGTGACAGCCCCAAAACATCACTGCTCTAGAAGAGATCTGCATGGAGGAATGGGCCAACATACCAGCAACAGTGTGTGCCAACCTTGTGAAGA